TTGCCACCAAGCGGGACCAAAAGAAGAGTCCTTACCCAGCATGCCAAATTCCAATCATTTTTAATTGTTACAATGTTATTATTATGTTCAATAAATGAATGAACAGTTGGATTAACAGCATCTAATGGTTGGGAAAAATACTAGAGTAAAGAGGACAGTAATTTCGTATACATATAAAACTATAATTATATGTGGGTGGGGGAAAAGAAAAAAAAGTAAATTTTTTTTGTGAAATTTTATTTTATTGCCTATGATTTTAATTTTTTTGTATTTTTATTAAATTTGAATTTTAAAAAAGAAAAAAGAAAGGAAATATGCACCAATTGTTGCAATAGTATGGCTCGTTTAGATGTGCTTTTAAAATGTATGAAAGTACTTTTGGTTAAATTGATTTTAAGTTCTAAAAGCACTTTAAGTGATTTTTGGAAGAAGCACCAGATATGTGCTTCTTGCAGGAAGCACTTAAAGTGCTTTTTTAGGATCCACTTGGATTTTTACTAAGGATTGGTATCAAAAACATTTTCAGTCATTTTAAAAGTGCATCCAAACGAGCCTGTAGAGGCTAGTAGCCGTCCACATCCGCTTTCATAAGGCATCCATACTCTTTGTAAAATTCACTATTGAAATTTGTGTTTATTTAAAAAAATTTGTTTTGCTGCCACTCAGTATCACGGTCTGGTGGTATTCCTCTTCATTTGTAAGTGAGATGTCTTAGGTTCGAATCTCATAGATGACGAATTTGATACCAAATTAGGTTGTCCATTGTGTGACTTAGCCGAACTCTCCCTCCCCTTAATGTAAAATATATTTTTGTACTAAAAAAAAATTTGTGTTTTACCACTTAGTACTACAGTCTTGTGACATTTCTCTTGAGTGAGAGGTCATTCTCTTTTTTATTTTTATTTTGTCAAATAATAGATTTTGTTAGAATAAATGTTAGATTAGCCAACGACAGGGTTCGAACTCATGTCGTCATGCAATGACTCAACTCCTTTCCACCACTGTGTAAAGGAACACTTGCATCTTAGGTTTCTGAGTAACATAGAAGATGATAGTTCTCGAATTTTCCTCGTGCAAAGGAGGGCCTAGACATAAGTGATTATGGATTGTTTTATCCGGGGATGGCGTGACACTTGCACAACTTGGACAAAACCACGAAACATCTTAAAGAGAGTCACATTGTCCGCGACTCAACACAGCAAATTGTTTCGATTGTTTTCAACTCACTGGTAATTTCGTTCCTTGCCATCTAAAATACCATCACTCCCTGATCAACCCACTGTTGAACAACTCAAATTGTATCAAATCTAGACTGAAAATGATTTTCTCCACAAGAATTACATCTTAAATGGTGTATGTGATGATTTATATAACTAGCTATTATTCTTCCTGTAAGACTGCTAAAGAGTCGTGGGACGCTCTCCAAATAAATATAATACTGAAGAAGCAGTTTGGTTATTTCTCCTTTCTTCCAGAAGAAATATAATACTACGGCATGAAAGAAACATATTGAATAGGAACGTGCATAAGCAGTTCCGGTTGTCTCTTTGTTTCTTCCGTCACGTAAAGGGAGCTGAATACATGCGGTTTAACCTTCCATCTTTTTTGGTTTTATGCCCAAAGGAATGTGGTGTGCTATCTACACACCTTTTTTTACTTCTCCCACACCCCTAGTTAATTTTTGTCCGTTGATCTTTTTCAATTCATCCGATCCGACGGCCAAAAATTAAAAAGGTGTAAGAGAAGTAAAAAGGGGTGTATGAATATCACATCCCTAGGAATATGTTCACTAAAAAAAATGGAATCTATTGGTTTACTTTTTTTCTTTTATTCTTTGTTAAATCTCTATTTAATCAATAGAAAAAACAATCATTTTTTAACAAACAACATTTTTTACATTATGGAAATGGATGAGTTTAGCTTCACAATAGGTTAGAAATAATTATTAAACATTTTTTATTAATTTTGTCATTCATTTAAAACAAGCTTCACAATAGGTTAGAAATAATTATTAAACATTTTTTATTAATTTTGTCATTCATTTAAAACATTGTATTTTCATCTTCTTTCATTACCACAATGTTTAAATGTTTATATATCTTCCGAGTTTATTTCCCTTCAATACCAATGCAAAAAACTAAATATGAATTTTATGTATGTTTGAAATTTGAAATATTGGATGGAGAGCAAAATCTTAAAAAATGTTAAAGTGCCACATAAGTTATCAAATTTAAATTTTATAAGCAAAATTTGAAAGCAGTCAAAGTGACATTTAGTACTACAATCTAGTGGTATTCATAATTACATGTAAGTGGAAGGTCTTATATTCAATTCTCGTCAAAGGCAAATTTGAACCTGTTGACCCTAAAAAGTACCAAGCCTACGTGACGCGCAGGCCAAGTAACTAATGAGCTAACTACGTCCTTCGGTTGTATGCGGGGCGTGCCAACTTGTCAGCCGAGTTCGGCCAAGGAGTAAAATGTGTTGATATTGCGTTGAACGCGCGGCTGACTTCTCGATCTTACGACTACGGCCGAGGAAGGAACATTCTTAGCCTTCGAGTTCTAGAACCTGAAGACAAGGCTGCTAGTTCTGCGAAGTTCAATGTCAAATTTGTCTTTCAATGTGCCGAATGTAGTAACTTGTAACAACGTATTTCGCCAAGAAGGCTAATGAGATGACCTCTGTCGATAAGGATTCAAAAATTCTTCTCGATCAAGACTTGGATAGATAACCAGTCGGCCTTCTCACAGTGTTGTTTATCCAAACTGAAGGCGCTTCACGGTCGGCTGATTCTACGGCAATAGTGCTGTTTATCCAAACTAAAGATGTTCACCGGTTGCCTTCACAGTGCTGTTTATCCAAACTAAAGATGTGTTTGCGCAGGGCAGTTTGTGTGTTGAGGTGGAGGGGCTTTTCCGTCGCTGAGCATCTTGTATATACAGCATTCTATCTTCTGGTTGCCTTCATCGTTGTAGGCCACTGAAGCTCAAGGGAAAATTTTATAGGACGACAATAAGGTCGGCGATGCTGTATGGCACAGAATGTTAGGCGGTGAAGCATCAACACGTACACAAAATGGGTGTAGCGGAGATGAGGATGCTTCATTGGATGTGTGGGCACACGAGAAAGGATAAGATTAGGAATAAGGATATCCGAGGTAAAGTAGGAGTAGCCGAAATTGAAGGAAATATGAGAGAAAATCGGTTATGGTGGTTTGGACATGTGCAAAGAAGGCCTACTGACGTTCCGATTCGAAGATGTGACTACGGGACAGAGGTTCAGGCTGAAGTGGTAGATGAAGACCTAGGAAAACTTTAGAAGAGACCCTAAGAAAAGACTTCGAGTACTTGGATCTAACGGAGGACATGACACAAAACCAAGCGCAATGGCGTTCTAGGATTCATATAGCCGACCCCACTTAGTGGGAAAAGGCTTTGTTGTTGTTGTTGTTGTTGTGGCGTGTTTCGCGCGACTTATACTTTTTAAATGTATTTATATGCGTAAATTGATAAAAGAAAAGTCAAATATTTGAAATAAATGAATAATTTTAGATCATGCTAGAAAAAAACTCCTTATAAACCAATTAAAACGGTTGAATTCACATATTAATATCGGTTTCTATAGAATTTACATTAAGAATAGAGAAAATAATATTTAATAAACAATTGATTGAATTACATTATTGCTAGCCCATTGTGAGGCCCACCCTTGTTCCCCTTAGTGTAGATAATATCGTTTGTTTAAAAACAAAAAAAACTATTATTTGACAATTAATTTAATTACATTATTATCCGTGTGCAAAATATCCTTTTTATAACCAGTAATGTGGGCACCATCAACTTTCACTCATCCTTCCGTTTTTTTGTTCTTTTCTCTCTTCCCACTTATATTTATATATTATATTTTATGATGACTAAATTACAAAATTACCCCTGCATTATTTGATATATTATATTGGGCTACTTTTGGATTTTTTTGGTTGAGGGGCAATTTTATCCTAATATTTTTGTCGAAGCTGTGACACCAAATTGGCACTATTCATTGCCCTATTCGCTTTATATATAACTAGCCTCCATGCATGCACTCACGCGCATGCAAAATGCATTTTTTGAATCACGGCTTGTTATGCGCGATTTACATGTTTTAAATTTATTTATTAATGTAGATGGAAATGAATAATAAATACATTTAATAAAAAGTAGTCTTTTAACTAATCAAGCCAGCTGAATCCATATTAATAAAAGCGGTTTTTCAATTTCTATCTACATTTTATTAAACAACTGATTGTTAGCCCATTGAGAGACTAAGCACACTCCCTCCACTTAGTGTAGATAACATCGTTTGTTAAAAAAATGATCATTTGACAACTAATTGAATCATATTATTATGCGCGTGCGAGAGACTTTTTTATAACTAGCACTACACACCTCTTAAGTGTTTAAAAATTGATAAATAATATTAATAAACAACTGCATGCAAAAGGCATTGGTTGAATCACAGCGCGCTACACGCGATTTAGACATTTTAAATGTATTTATATGCGTGAATTGCTTCGATATTTTTTTATTTCGTTATGTTCTTTTTTTACCACCGGCGGCGCGCGCTACGCGCCTCTTAAGATGTTTTGAACACAACATTAATTTTTTTCTTATTTTTTATTATATTTTTCTTCCCCATGCACCATCAACTTTGTCATTTGTTTATTCTTTTCTCTCTTCACTTTCATTTTTTTTATTCTTTTCTCTCTCCCTATTTATATTGATATTATATTTTATGATGACCAAATTACCAACTTACCTTTGCATGATTTGATATATTATTTTAGGCAGGTATTGATTTTTTTCGGTTGAGAGGCAGTTTGGTCCAATTTTTTTTGTCAAAGCCGGTGGCACCAATTTGAGCCTCCAGCTTTATATATAGTTAATAGATAGATATGTAGGCTGCAGACTTCTATAACTTGAATATTAACTTGCAAATCAATTTGTTAAGAGCGATCATACAACAAAGTCACCTTGTTAATATTTCAGATTAGTACATTGGATCCTGCTCCCACTCAAGGAGAGATTTTTTAATGTACCTAAAATACGGGATGGTACATCACATGTTATTATACAAGTTGTGGGACACTTGAAAAATAAAATTTCCCTCCACTTATATAATAACATATGATGTATCACTTCGTATTCCATACACACTTAGAAATTTCGCCCACTAAAGAACATGGGGTAGTTTATTCTACATGACGAGCGGTACTACACTCTTCTTATCTTTTACTTAGATACTGTTTGATACGTGGTACAGGACAGAATGGAGCGAGACGAGACGTTCCGTCGCAAGTTTGGTGCGCCTAAAACGGGTGGAACACACTGTTCCACGGGACGAATTTTGGATGAATTTTCGTTCTGCCTCATCCTTTGAAATGACTCGTTCCACATTCGTGTAACACAAAATTATAACCTCTCCATCTCCTTCTTCTTCCTCCTTGTTTCCATCCGAGGGCATTTTTGTTTCCTCTCCATTCCGTCCCGTCCTGTTTCATCCTGTCCCGTCTACATACCAAACGAGAAAAACTAAGAGACATAACTAAGTAGAAAGTACATAAAGTCAAAAGAGACTGCAAAAATCACTTTTGATTTTATATGTTTGTTCTCGGAAAAAAAATATTTTAAAAAAACCTAATTAAATATGTCATATCTAGACAGTCCAATCCAATCCCGACCTTAACCCTAAAGAGAATCAATCTTTGATACTCATGATTTGGTCAGTGTGATGTCTTCACATTTTTCATCTGGGGTGCTGCGGATTCAAACCAAAGAGCTAAAAATTTCATCAGTCACCATAAAAAATAAAGAACCAACCTCTGTTTGCTCACTTAAACCCCAAGCGATTCAATCCCACCAGCGGTGGACATGGAAGTGGCGGAGGAGCTAGACTTCGAGGAGGATATGATGAAGTTGTTGGTATAATTATAAAATAATTATAATTAGTACAAACCGCAATACTCAAGTGTATTTATATTATCTAAATTACCGATTAATAAAATCTTCTTTATCAACTAAAAGATGATGATTTTTTTTTTCTTATCTTCTATCACAAAAAAAATGACGGTCAATAATGTAATTTTACAAAATTAAATTTTTCTGTTTTTAATTGAATCTTCATCTATGGGTGATTTTAGCATATATTTAATATTTACAAAAAATAAAAAATAGAAACACAAACCTCTCTTCTACGTTCTCTCTCCTTTTCTCCTCATTTTAGAAACAAAAATAAAAAATACTCACACACACACAATGTGTATAGGCATATGCTAGTATAATTTAAAATAATGCTTATTATCAAAGATTTTGGACTAATTTTATGCAGTGTTCTAAAAATCGACCTAGGTTCTGTGTGGCGGAACTTCTACCTGATTTAGACCAAAATGTTTAGTTAGGCGGGGAGGACTTAGGCGGCCACCCAGGCGCTCGCTAGGCTCCTTAGGCGGTTTGAATCTCGTTGCAAATCCCAAACTCGCTGTAATTTTTGCAACGGATCTACAACTTTCGATCTCGTACATTGCAGCAGAGCCTCGACGAATTTCTGTAGCTCGCCTCAGTGAAGTTGAGGGAAGAGAGAGTGTGAAGAGAAAGAGAGAGAGAGTATTAAACATTTCAGATAGAGAGTATTAAACATTTCAATCTGTGGTGGAGCAAGTTGGATTTGAGATCCAATTTTGAGGTTCTAAAAGGGTGAAGAAGAATATGAGAGAAGAGAGAGAGAGACTAAAAGAACCAATTTTGAGGTTTTTTTTTTGGAAAGAATCAATTTTGAGGTTCTGAAAGGACAAAGAAAGAAACAAATAGGACCGGTTGTGTGAAAGAGGTAAGGTGGAAAGAGGTAAGGTCAAAAGCTGGTGATTGCTGGGGTCTATCTTGGGTGATGTGAAAGAGGTAAGGTGAAAAGAGGTAAGGTCAAAAGCTGGTGATTACTGAGGTCTATCATGGGTGATGTGAAAGAGGTAAGGTGGACATCAACTATTTTGAAGGGTTATCAGATGGTTGTAATCATGAAAACCATCCACTTAAGTGAGCTTTTTATATTTTTAAAAGTAATATATTATATGAAGGGTCATCATGGTTATATACTTGTGTGAGCTTTTTATATTTTTAAAAGTTACATATATAATATATTATATTAAGGGTCATCAGATGGTTTTATCATGAAAACCACCCACTTGTGTGGGCTTTTTATATTTTAAAAGTTTGGGGTGTATATCATATGTATATAAATGTTATATAAATTATTTAGATAATATTTTATTTTTTTTCCCTAGGCAAGCATATTATATATTTACTTATGTATGTTGTATTATTAAATAATTATTTACATATGATATAGTAAGTTTAATTAATGCATATAATATATAAAAAAATTTACCTAAATCCGTCTAGACTGTCTAGGCGCCCACCTAAACCCCGCCTAGCTGCCTAAGCGCTAGGTATCATCCCACCGTCCGACTAGCGCTTAGCGTTTTTAGAACCTTGATTTTATGTAAAATTGATCAATAATTTCTATTACGTGGTCCATATAGTTGATTATACACCTTAAATTGACATCGACAAGGACAGTTTGTATATATTCGACTAATTATGTATATGTAGGATGCAGACTTATATAACTTGAATATTAACTTAGCTAATCAAAGCGATCATACAACAAAGTCACCTTGTTAATATTCCAGATTAATATATTGGATTCCGCTCCCACTCAAAGAGAAATTTTTCAGTGTACCTAAAACACGGGTTGGTACATCACATGTTATTATACAAGTAGTAAGATACTTGAAACCACTTGAAAAATAAAACTTCCCTCCACTTATATAATGACATGTGGTGTACCACCTCGTGTTCCAAACACACTCAAAAATTTCGCCCACTAAAGAACATGGGGTAGCTTACTCTACATGACGAATGATTACTTCACTCTCTTTTTAATCTCTTACTTCAAGAAAATTAAGAGACATAACTAAGTAGATAGTACATAAAGTCAAAAGAGAGTGCGAAAATCATTTTCGATTCTATATGTTCGTTTTTCTTCAAAAAGAAAACCCTAATTAAATATGTCATATCTAGACAGTCCAATGCCGTTTTTAAACGTTGAAAGGAAATCCTGTATAACTGTTCGTTACATTGGTTGTCTTGCTGCTTCGTGCCTAGGCCTGGCAATTCCTGACACGACCCGATAACCCGACACGACACGACACGAAATTAACAGGTGTTCGGGTCGACACGATAACAAATCGGGTCGTTATCAGGTAACCCGATAAGCACATGTTAAGATAACGGGTTGGTTCGGGTATACACGTAGGTAACACGAGACACGATAAGCAGAATATTAATTTTATAATTTTATAGCCCTAAAAATACTATAATTATATATATATATATATATATTAAAATAACTATAATAATTATACCCCCAAAATATTAACTATAATAATTATACGTACATAATAAATAGATTTAAATCTACTTAATAAATATATATATATACACACACACACATATCATTGAACTTCATGGGATATGAATTATACGAAACTAATTTTAATGATCCAACCGTCAAATTTGTTTGTATATGCTTCGAGATTGCATCATTAAAAAATCGCAAAAAACAAACATTCAGAGATTAAGTAACCAAACAAAACTTTTCAACGGTTATAAAACGAAAAATCACGATTTAACTATTATTTTAACTCCGATTTTTATGATTTTTTACAGCTACACACTCCTTGACCCTATATGAATACAATGAATGAATTCGATCTTCAATTTAAAATATTTACACTAGTGGATATCTTATGTTATACTTAATAAAAGTATGAATAAACTCTTAAGTGTTAGTGAATCTATTGTTTTGATGGGATACACATTCTATGAAACTAGTTTCAACAATTCAACCATCAAACATGTTTGTTTATACTTCGAGATCGCATACTCCAAAAATTGCAAAAAACAAACATTCAGAGATTAAGTAACCAAACAAAACTTTTCGACAGTTATAAAACAAAAAATCACGATTTAACGATTACTTTAACTCCGATTTTGATGATTCTTTACAGCTACACTCCTTGACCCTATATGAATACAATGAATGAATTCGATCTTCAATTTAAAATATTTACACTAGTGGATACCACAAAATCTTATGTTATACTTATTGAAAGTATGAACAAACTCTTAAATGTTAGTGAATCTATTGTTTTGATGGGATACGCGTTCTACAAAACTAGTTTCAACGATCCAACCGTCAAACATGTTTGTATATACTTCAAGATCGCATACGCCAAAAATTGCAAAAAAAAAACATTCGGAGATCAAGTAACGGGACAAATCTTTTCGACGGTTATAAAAAGAAAAATCATGATTTAACGGTTATTTTAACTCCGATTTTGATGATTTTTTTACAGCTACACTCCTTGACCCTATATGAATACGATGAATGAATTCGATCTTCAATTTAAATATTTACACTAGTGGATACCACAAAATCTTGTTATACTTGATGAAAGTATGAATAAACTCCTGAGTGTTAGTGAATCTATTGTTTTAATGGGATACGCATTCTACAAAATTAGTTTCAACGATCCAACCGTTAAACATGTTTGTATATACTTCGAGATCGCATACGTCAAAAATTGCAAAAAACAAACATATAGAGATCAAGTAACAGGACAAAACCTTTCGACGGTTATAAAAAGAAAAATCACGATTTAACGGTTATTTTAACTCTGATTTTGATGATTCTTTACAATTACACTCATTGACCCTATATGAATACAATGAATGAATTCGATCTTCAATTTAAAATATTTACACTAGTGGATACCACAAAATCTTATGTTATACTTAATGAAAGTATGAATAAACTCTTAAGTGTTAGTGAATTTATTGTTTTGATGGGATACGCATTCTACGAAATTAGTTTCAACGATCCAACCATCAAACATGTTTGTATATACTTCGAGATCGCATACGCCAAAAATTGCAAAAAGCAAACATTCAAAGATCAAGTAACGGGACAAAACTTTTCGACGGTTATAAAAAAAATCATGATTTAATGGCTATTTTAACTCCGATTTTGATGATTTTTGACAGCTACACTCCTTGACCCTATATGAATACAATGAATGAATTCGATCTTCAATTTAAAAAATTACACTAGTGGATACCACAAAATCTTATGTTATACTTAATGAGTATGAATAAACTATAATAATTATATACATTAATTTAACAATTTTATACCCCTAAAAACTAAAATAATTATATAATATAATTATATATATATATATATATTAAATTATGTGTTTTAATGTTTTGAAGTAATATTTATGTGGCAAAGTGTGGTATGTGCAAATTTAAGAAAAAAATATATTTTTCTTAACGGGTCATAACGGGTTATAACGGGCCAGGTCGCTTTACCTGTTGGGTAAAGTGACCCGACTTGTTAAGGACCTGTTAAGATAATAGGTGTGACACGACACGACCCGTTAAAATAACAGGTGTTACACGAACACGACAGACACGACCCGTTTACCAGGCCTATTCGTGCCCAAAGAAGGTTAAGATGACAGGAAAACCACCATGATGTAAAACCAGTTTTTATATTTTATTTCTTCCTTTTTTTTCTTATAAGAGCCTGAACTAAAGATGTTATGATACAATCTTCAAAATGTAATTCTAAATTACGTTTTCATAACTAATTATCAGCGTAGAATAACTCGTTTGAAATGTCAACAACAGAGCAACGAGATGCCTACGTGTCCTTGCTCTTACTTGAAGATATAGTTGATTGAGTAAAAAACCCATCACTCGATTTGAGTTTTATGCTCCCGATTTAAGACTCACATGAATTGAGGTATATGCTCTTTTGTCCGCCCTACCATTTCCTTATAAAAGCAGGATGATGCATTAGGCTCTTATTCCCTCGATTCACTACTGTTTCCCAAAATATTCAATATGGCCACAAAAATCGAAGTTGAAATAATAGAGAACCAAACAGTTAAACCATCCTCCCCAACTCCTCATCAACTTAGAAATTTTAAGCTCTCAGTTTTGGACCAGATGGCTCCCGTAGTTCATGTCCCACTACTTCTCTTCTATCCCAATATTGCTACTACTCATTCCATGGCCATGAATGAAAGATGTCAGCTTCTAATTCAATCATTAGCCAAAGCTCTCACTCACTTCTACCCCCTTGCCGGAAGATTAGTTGAAGGCAATTCCACGATTGAATGCAACGATGATGGAGCTGAATTCATCATAGCCCGTGTCAACTGTTCCTTAGCGGATATTTTGGAACCCCCGGATGTCGTGATGCTAAACCAGTTCCTTCCAACCGAAGGAAAAGGCCCAATGCTTCTTGTGCAAGTCAACTTTTTCGAGTGCGGTGGAATGGCAATCGGATTCAAGATTTCACATAAGATTGCTGATGGCTTCACAGTATTCACATTCATCAAATATTTGTCCACAATAGCACTTCAGTCCAGCGACAGTGATCAGGTGGTATTGCCTCCAGAATTTGGTACTGCATCTCATTTTCCACCACTAGATTTTTCGAACTCATCACAGCCGACACCAATGACCAAGAAATTTCACCAAGCACGGAAGTGCATAACAGAGAGGTATGTGTTTGATGCGTCAAAAATTTCTACTCTCAAATCTGATGTAGCCAGTTCAATTGTTCCCAATCCTACACGTGTGGAAGCGGTTTCAGCACTCATTTGGAAATGTGCAATGGAAGCGTCAAGATCAAACTCGGAGTCCCCAAGGCCATCCATGTTCCATCAAGGTGTGAACTTGCGCAAAAGGTTTGTGCCGCCTTTGCCAGAAAACTTGGCTGGGAACATCGTGGGCCGTTTTACATCGAAGGTTGAAGAGTCTGCGATGATAGATCTAAAAGACTTGGCTGCTAAGTTCAGGAAAGGGATTGAACAAATGAAAGAAAAGTATGCTGCAAAAGTAGTATTTGATTCTAATGTAGCATGTCAGGAGCGAACAGACTTCTGCAAAAACGTGCTAGATAATGGTGGGATAGAAAATTATGCCTGCACCAGTTGGTGTAGGTTTCCTTATTACGAAACTGATTTCGGATGGGGAAAGCCGGCATGGGTGAGCTTAACTAGTTTCTCAGTTGCGAATGTAATTGCTTTGTTGGACAAAAGAGATTGCAAGGGATTAGAAGCATGGGTGACAATGAGTGAAGAAACCATGGCCATCCTTGAAAGCAATGTGGAACTGCTTGGATATGCTTCTGTAAATCCAAGTGTCACCTACTGAAAATATAATTGTAAGAGACTCATTTTTTCCGTTTTTGTGTTCTTACATTAAAATATGTATTGTTTGCCCCAAGTAGTAGTTCTAGAATTATGGAATCCGTTTTAGTCGATCTTTCAAATCTTATTGAAACTTATGGTAAATATGGTAGCCATACATATGGATACCAAGATGCTAAATGCTAAATATAAAGGTTAAGTTGTCGTTAATTGGATGGATTGGTGCTAATGTCCGGATATAAACATTTTGGAATACCATTCCAAATTCATAAAATCTAATAAACAAATGAAAAATTGATACGATGCCACTTGGCATCATCATAAGAGCAGTTCCAAGGCCTCCTGGGCTATTCACTATTTAATCCACCTAATAAACAATAATTATCTTTAATGAAGTAATTGCTTTTTGCATCTCTACCCATACACTGAATAGCCCTGTCAATAGATAATAAAATATTAGTAATTTTTTAAATAATACAAAATAATTTTAATGGTAATTTCGGATAGAATTTTTAATTGATCTCCTTGTACCACTTTCTATTAAAAAAATTATTTTTATTTTTTAAATTTTTCCTTTTCACATGGTGCAGCACACCATTCCAAAACCTTTGTTTTTTTCACATGGTGCTGATGCACCATTTCAAAACCTTTTTTTATTATTATTGTTTTCTTATTTTCACATGGTGCCAACGCACCATTCATCAGCACCATTCCAAAACCTTTTTTTATTATTATTTTTTCTTCTTTTCACATGGTGCCAACGCACCATTCCAAAAGTTGTGTGTTTTTTTACTTTCTTTTTCAAGCCCAACAGCTCTCTCTCACTTGAGCTCGGGAGGCAGGGCTCCAAAAGCTATGTTATAATCTCCCTTTTTATTATATTTTTTTTCTTCTTTTCACATGGTGCCAATGCACCATTCCAAAAGTTGTGTGTTTTTTTTCTTTGGCCTAATCGGATAAATGATTCCCGTGGTCATAAGGTATTCGGATGATTGTCCATGTGGTAAAAAAATTCGGATTTAAACCTATGTGGTCACAGTCTGTTAGGATTTAAACCCATGTGGTCTAACTCTGTTAGGATTTATGCGCTTCTGTCATTCCTTCATTAGGTTTAGGTTGGCCAAATCGGATAAATGGTTCCCGTGGTCATAAGGAATTTGGAAGATAGCTCCTGTGGTAGAAAAAATTCGGATTTAAATAATTTTTAATTCATTTCTTCTTCTTTTTTTAAATAAATTTTTAAAAAATATGTAAATTAATTATTTAAATAAAAGATATATATCTATATACTATATATATAAAGTGAGCACCCTAAAATGGTGAAACATTCAAAATACCATAAATTGTCCTTTAAGAATTTCATAAATTACAATTGAACCAAAAGAAGCTAAAGTATTTAACCATATTTTTATTTTGAATGAATTTAATATTTAAAATTATAAAAAAAAAAAAAAAAACCTCCCACATTAGTGGGTGGCTTCACGTTTTTAATTCATTTCTTTTTTTTTAAATATTTTTTTTAAAATATGTAAATTAATTATTTAAATAAAAGATATATAAAAATGTCAATTGCCACACGCGTATGCGTGTGGCAAGAGGCTAGTAAAGAATTAATTAATCAGTTGGATATTCGGGAGTCAAAAACTCGTTAATTTTATAAAGGCATTTTGAATGATTTGATTTATTAGATCTTGAATTTTAATGAATTATGTGATTTATTAGTTCCACCTCATTCTGTCGCGTCTCCTTAGAGAAACTCTGCTCCACCTGTAAGCTTAGCGGAGAAATGACAGAACCTCTAGTTTCGGGCATAAATCCTAACAAACTTAGACCACAGGGGTTTAAATCCGAATTTTTTTTACCACAGGGACTATCTTCCGAATACCTTATGACCACATAGACCATTTATCCGATTTTGCCAACCTAAACCTAATGGAGGAATGACAGAAGGACATAAATCCTAACAGACTTAGACCACATGGGTTTAAATCCTAACAGACTGTGACCACAGGGGTTTAAATCCGAACTTTTTTACCACAGGGGCTATCATCCGAATACTTTATGACCACGGGGACCATTTATCCAATTAGGCCTTTTTCTTTCTTTCTCAAGCTCAGCAGCTCTCTCTCACTTGAGTTCCAGAGGCAGGGCTCCAAAAGCTATGTTAAAATCTCTCTCTCTCTCTCTCTCTCTCTCTCTCTCTGCCCCCCCCAAAACAAATCCCAAATCTTTCCCCCAAAAAACAAATCCCAAATCGGGCGATTTGGGCGCGCAAGTGGAAGGAGGGGGATTGGCGGTGTGGGGTGTGGCGGCAGCTGTGACGGAGGAGGGACTGGATCTCTCCCATTTATCTGTAGGTGTATCATCAACCTCGGTTATGAACTCCAGCGAGAGCTGTTGAGTTCGAAGCTTGATGGGTCTTACATTTTTTTAATTTTTTATTGATTTTTTATATTTATATTAATTTTATATTGTGGCTGACGTCGTCCTCACGTCAGCCCACGTCACATTACCTTCGGGCGCTCGGGTCGGCACGAATCGCCAGGCCTTTCCCTTGGACCTGCTCGGGCTTGCTCGCCAGCACACGCTAGGCTTCATCACTCGGGCTACATGGCTCTATTCCTGTGCCTGTCCCTCGGGCTGGAGCACACGATGGACTTGCTCTAACGTGGCAGTTGTATTATTGATTAGTTAGTTTTGCAACTAATTAACGGTTAGAAGGTCATTTGGTTGTTATCTTGGAGTCTTTGAAGAAGATTATGATACTTCCTTCATTGATAAAACGGCATTACAATTACATATTATAAATAACTCGGCCCCAAAAAGGCATTAAAAATACAAATTATAAATAACTCGGCCCCAAAATGGTCCTTGCAAACTAGATCTAAAAATATTGCAGTAAAGCATCACTAATCGCAAAGCCTGGAGTAGACTTCAAGCACTCTTCCGACGAGCTCATCGGGAACGGTACGATTACTCAAAGATCAATAAAATTGTTAAACTTTATGTTTCAGGGAGATCACATGTGGACAAAATCTCAAACAATAAATTGGGATAGGGAGTATGATGCCCATTAGTCGATCACATCACCTAATCACTGCCATGATCCCAGCAGACCAAATGAAGTAGATAAGTAAGTCAAACAGCTCCACCCTTCACACATAGATCGAAAATAGGCAGCAAACCAGAACGAATATTAAAATCATGCACTCTTCTAAACAGAGCAATCAAATTAGCAACCTCTCATACGGAGAGAAATCAAACCAAATTCCAGGACAACTTTAGGAAATTATTAAACATAAACAAAATAAAAGGATAAAAACAGGTAGCCTATCCACATCTTCCGAACATCCGCATATCATATCACTGCACCGGCTGAACCCAAAGTGTCGCACTGACTAAACTCGATTCCGACGCTACTCGATATCTTCCATGGCTTCTCGCTTCAATCCTATATCGAAGGTGATAATTAGATCCAAAATCTTATGTTAACTTTGTGTGTGTGGGCCAAAAGACGACGACTACCACGGTGACTATAGAGCTCCACGACGCCACTTCAACTCCAAATAAAGTAAACGGAAAGTGAGAGAGAAGAAACAAAGAATGGTTTTCAAGAAGATTGTTGCCGATCCCAAAGCCAAAGACAAGGGCCCATGCTAGAGAATTTTTCTTTTGATTTTTTTCTAGATGGCTTATTTTGGAGTCTTGGTAGCTAAGTTGTTATCTGCTACTATAAATAGTAATTCTTGTAAAGAAAAAAGAATCATTGTAAAAATTGTATTTTTTAATAGCCAGTCCTTTGATTCTTCTCGACCCCTTCTCGTGTATGACTCGTCTCGCTTCCAGAACAGCTATGGAGTCAACGGAACCTCAAGATCCTAGCCACCACACCATCTCGGGGACGATGTCCACTAACATTAAATATATGTTACAAGCCAACCATGACAGTGTACCGTCGTCGGTGGCATTGTGGGTAGGCCGAGGAGGCTCGCATCCTGGAGGTGGGAGACGACCCAAACAACTTGTCGTTTGGTCAGGGGACTAGATTTGGCTTGCGCCACAGCGCGGCTCGAAGCCGTGGCTCACGCAGGTTAGGGTTTTTCAATTCCAATTTTCCTACTTATGTTAATGCACTTTCCAATGATACGTAACTAAGGTATTTCTGGTCCTTTATAAAATAAAAATATATATATATATACCATCTTGGGATAGGAATACTAGTATTTCATTGCTACAAATATGTATTATTGAAAAAAAAAAGACATGTATTCGGATATTTCTTTTCAACTCTTAGTTTCCACACACACATATAGCGATTGCTTAAAAGCCGTTCTTGAGCGATCCTCTCCTTTAGCTACACAATTTGTGCTGACAAAGCGTTGAAGAAAAAATAGCTCACCGATTGTATTTTCACTTATGCTCTTTGGTGGCCTTGTGTCTTTATTTGTACTAATTATGTGAACTTTACTTGCCTCACAAGTAATGCAAGTCATAATGGATTAAATATCTCATATCGTATTGGAATTTATTTCTTGATTTACACAGTCACATTTCTAAATAATATTAATTACAGCACAATTGTGTTTTATTTGGCAGTAATTGATTATTATCATTTTCTCTTACAATTATACTAGTAAAATTGTGAACAAGTTATAGTGAATCTATCATGATATGTCAGCATGTAGAATTAAGCTTAACCCAATAAAGTCGGACAACCGAAATTTACCTTGGATTGAGTTAGGTTTATAGGTTTCCAACCCGACGAAAACCCAACCTTAACCCAAAATCAAAATATAAATGATGAGTTATGATGGGTTGACCTTCCAACTAGGTCTGACAATTCCTGACACGATCCAATAAACTGACATGATACGACACGAAATTAACAGGTGTTCGGATCGATACGATAACGAATCGGGTCGTTATTGGATAACCCGATAAGCATCTGTTAAGATAACGGATTGGTTCGGGTATACACGTGGGTAACACGATACACGATAAGCAAAATATTAATTTATAATTTTATAACCTTAAAAAAAATACTATTATTAATTATATATATTAATTTAACAATTTTATACCCCTAAAAACTATAATAATTATATATATATAT